AGAAGGTTGGTTGAGCGTCGGACTCACAACTGAGAGGTTCTTTGTTCAGGCCCTGGTCGAGTCACTCGCTATTCTTCCTTCAGAGGTTGGCAAATGAGCACCACTAGGAGCAGGAGGCTGTACATTATGCTTACCGCCCAGTCGTTGATCGGTCTGCCTTCAAAATAATGCACTTCTGGCTGATGCCATGGAATTGGAGATCAGCGTCAGAAATGACTCCACAATGAAATTATGATGAAGACCGCATTCTAACGGTTGCATACTTTCCTTTTTCCTTTTCTCTTGCATTCATAATGCAGCAGATTTATGAAAACGCTAAAGCTCTAAGGGGTGTTTTGGCTTGCGTCCCGGAGACCTTCGTCAGCCAAATTACCTGATATACCACGCTCTGTTTAATAAATTAATGTATTCAAAAGCAGAGTGTGTGGTTTCAAACGAGGTTTCAAGTGGAACGAGCCATTGGTCTGAAATTAGACTTCATGAATAATTTATTGAAATAAACGTATTGTTATTATATTGTCTCTTCGATGTTTCTAAACATGGGAAAATAGGCAGATTTCAGTCTTTATTATGACTGCCTGTCTCTCTGTTTCATGTACCTAGAACCGTTGTAGTGGTATATGCAAGATGATACAGAATTGGAGTGATTTCCAGAAATACAAAGATACAGATATCAATACTTTTATACATTATTTGTAATTAAATAAGTCAAAACAGACGCACGACCTCTGTCTAATTCAGAAACACGACCCGGAACGATTCCTCAGCTCTCTCATGGTAGCAAACCACTTTTAAGACAGGCATAATTTGATGTGTTTTCCCTGTGTCTGGATGAAGAGCCTTGTTCGACCGGGGTTCATGGTCTGAATTCGATAGCGTCACGAGTGTAGTTCCGTTTTGCTTTGCAAAGGGATATTTACTTTAAGACTTAATTAAAGCATAATTTAATTGTCAAATAACTGCATTGTTCACCAAAAGTAAATAAAGTAAACACTGAGAGCTTGCAGCCGTTGGGATGCTTGCTATCCTTAACTTTTGCACTGAGAAGGACTCCACTTATGGCATCATTATTTCCTGGAACTTATGATACGGCACTGGTTTGCATTTCGATGCAATCAATCAAAGGCACCTCATAATTGCACGTGACGTCCACAGTTAAATGGTCACTACTTCTTCTCCTTTTCCATGTGATGTCTACAAAGGGCGTGGTGGCAAAGTTGTAGATTTAAAATTGTCCTCAGCAATGAATCGACCTCACGTTATTTTGGTGCAAACAGCCGAGAAACGGGTAGCGAGTAATTGCCTTGTGAACACAATGGGCAACAACACACCAGATTGGACGAGAAGTGCGGCCATTCGTAATGAGAACTCTTCTTATGGCTGCAATTCTCATTCATCATCCCTCCAATGGCGTTTAGACGAGTCTCATAATTTTCATTTATGCATCTGATATGCATTATTTTTTGTGTCCTGTTCTCATGCAGTAAATGAGGACCATTTTCCCCATGACACTGCCCCTGTTTGGATGTTGTCAGTCAAAGGCGCTTCATTTCTGCAGATGACATGTGCAAGTAAAAGATTACGCCTTTCCATTTCCTTCCATATCGCGTTTTGGAACGAATCGTAGATGAAAGCTAAAATTAAAATTTCACTGGCGGACAACTTACGACCTCCCATGGCTTTGCGA